AAACTTACTGAAAGGTTATAAGTAAGTACTTTTCAGTCAGAGGTTGCAGTTTATTTCAATCTCAATGCTTATTAAATGTTTCTGACTTCATGCTGATCGATCATGAAATTTCAAGAAGTCACACGGAGACTGCAGTTTTATACTACAATCTTCTCTCCTAAATAGATTATTTCAAAGAATCTTATTGGACAGCCCACCAAGAGGCATTTGTTTTGATTTTCCTCATTAGCGTTTTATCCATTCAGGATAAATCATGGGGAATGCATACCAGGCTGAACATTTGCAAGCAGAATCTGCAAAATAAAGCCAAATTCAGGAATAATCTGGTTATACCAATTCATCATGCTGAGCATTACTGACAATATTCAGACAATATAATCCCTATTACACCTGCTTTCAGGAGGAAAAAAATCTAGTTAGTAACCCTAAATTAAATTAACATTTTTAGTGTACATAATTTGTAGTTCAGAATGAGCCATAATTATCATTCAGGGAAAACCATATGGAAAGCATTACCAGCCTGCACTAAGTCTTGGGTTTTAACAGTGATCCATGACTCAAAATGCTTTATCCAAACAGGTTGTAAATTCTGAGACAAGCAAGATGCCTTTCAGTCATTTTTATATTAATTCCAAATGAAGAATTCATTGTCTTTTCAAATTATAATAAATTGGAGAGCAATTTCCCACTAAACAAATCAAGGAAATTGAAAAATTACTTCTCTGGGAGCTGTTTTCTACATCCTTTTTTTTTTTTAAGACATGCTTTTATTATTCTTGATGTGTATAATAATAGACATCTGCATTACCTAAACAATTTTCTTCCTGTTCTTTTAAGTGGAAGGTGAACCTGAAAAATGCATCATGTTCAATGTAATTTCATTCCAGGGGAGTCTGGAGACGGCAATGAGAGCTCACATTTAAGAACCTCAATTAATATTTAGAAGATTAGATCCCTAAGCTACCGTCCTTCTCTCTCAATGATACACTTTACTTTCCAGGGAACCACAGAACTGTATGTGTCATTGGGGTGGGTGTGTCCAAGGATTCAGCAAAACTGTGCCTTGTGGGCACCCGAGCATCCTTGACATTTTTGGGATTGTTTCATTAATCTGAGATTTAAAATGATATACGTAATAATCCCTTAAAACTGAGAGGAATTGGCGCAAATAAAGGATGGTCCTGCAAACCAAAATGGGGCAAAGAAACCAAAGCCAAGAAATAGAAGATAACTGAAAAGCAAATAAAGTGAGTTTTGGAAATATTTGCTTTGTCTTTTGAAAATCTGTCCCTACACCCCACCATGTAGAGACACGGGAAGATTCTCTGCTGGAGAAGAGCAGAAGGGCATATTCGTGCACTGGCATTTCTTAATCACTCAAGCCAGCATAACATTTTGATTTACTCTAGAGATTGACTTGGTCTCTGTTTAGTAATTATTTGGACCCAGGATGCTTTGCGCAAGGCATATTTTTATGGCTATTGACATTATAGGAATTTCTGACTTCGTTTCACAGGCTTTTGAAAGTGAGTTAGAAGCTTTCCATTCCACAGGTTGCAGCTTCTCCAGAGACTGGTTGGCGACGCTAGGACCAAAGCTCCCTCGGTTTGCAGAGGAGTGTCCAGTGGATCTCATGTCATGGGAGCAGTTAATTGAATTTTAAAGGTCTTTTAAAAGGTTCCATGGAGGTACCTATCTCTGAAGGGTGGCCTGTTGGCAGGATTTGAGCTTGGGTTGGTCACTGGACATTGAGATACTTTAACTTGGTAGCTTCCCAATTGGGACAAATCAAGCGACAGACATATGATATCAAATATCAGTTGAATAACTATTTTCTCATATGGAATTGCCGTGTTTCTGTGGCATGAAGGCAGTCTTATTAACTCCGTTTTCACATCTGGAGTTGGAGGAAGAAAAGGGAAAACTATGAGAATACGAAGAATAGTTTTCACACAGGAAATAAGGAACTGTCACCATGTGAAAAATTGTCCTCATTTTTTCATCATTCCAATCAACCGCCCAATTTGTGTCAGTGCAAATACAAACACAGACTTCTTAGACTTCATGGTGAAAGTGCCCAGTATACCAAGGACGACTAAGTCCAGAGCCAAGTCACAGACTGTCTTGGAGATCAGCTGTAGAACAATGCTGGTCCCAGAGCTGTGTTCCACATGGGAGCCAAAGAGGGCTGGCTTTCGCCAAGCGTAAACATGGCTCGGGCTAGCAGACTCTTCCCCATAGGATCCTGTGTAGTTATAGATCTTGACCAAGGACAGGGGAGAAGAAAAAAATCCTTTTTCCTCTTCCGCTTTCCTTCCTTCTCTTCTCCCTCCCTCCCTCCCTCCCTTCCTTCCTTCTTTCCCTCTCTCCCTCTTTCTCTTTCGTATATTAAGCCTGGTTTAGACATAGTAAAAGTTTAGAACCACTAGAAAAATATTTTTCTCCTGATGATTCTCACAGTATGATCCACAGAATTGTGAAAAAAGTCCAAAGTCCACCCCATTTCTTATTATGTCCACATATTAAGTGCTTAGCAAGCATTAAAAATATATTTGCTATTATTGTAATGAGTACTGTGAGACATAAATGTGATGACATATGTAAATCCTTCAACAGAATGCCTGCCACATATGTGCTTGAAAATGGTATTGGATCTAGATACACATTATAAATTATATAATTATATACACACACATGCACACACACACACACATATATATATACACAATTTTTTTTATTATTATTGTCTTTGTTTAGCAAACTGGTATTTATCCCCTAAAGCTCCAACTTGAGTTTAGCTTTCTCTGTCACCCCCAAAGAGAATTAGTTATTCTATTTCTACAGCATTTGGGCACTTGTATGGTATAGGCACTTGGGCTGTACTGGAATGAGTTGCTTACTGCTGTGTGCCCTCTGATGGGTCCCAGGTCCTCGAAGGCAAGGACTGGGCCGTATTCAGCATCAGCCTTCCTACCACCCATAGGGCAGTGTCTGGCCATGAGGTTGGTGCTCGGTAGACATCTGCTAGACTGAACAAAAACACTGGCCTAGAGACAAAGGGAATGCTCCCATCTTTATGCCCAAGTGAAGATGGGAATGTAGAGAATGTTTTTCTTTGAAAAAAGAAATCTCGGGGGCTTACTTGAAAACAGGCTGAATGCTTACAGAAATGAGTGCCAATAGCGACGTATAAGCGACTCAGGCCTGGTGCGGCTCCAACGTGAGAAAGCGTCCCGGCTTCCTTCTTTAACTCGGCAGCTGCAGAACAGATGGGATGGAGTGCGGCTCAGTCACGCTGCCACTAGACTGGGGAAAAGGGGCCAGGCTCCCAGAGGAAAAGAACGCTTTCTCCCACGTGTTCGTTTGAAAATAAAATTTGCTTTAAAGATCACTGCCGCTATACCAGCGTAACTTGATGTGAGCTTGTGCACTCCCAGTGGGAAAGGAAGAGTCTGACAAACACCAAACATGCTCCCCACGTACCCCTCGTGGCAGTTGTGAGGCTAACATGTGAGCCATCTTGACTAAAGATGTCCTTTCATCTTCCCCAAGGTCTTGCATTTTCGTCAACCCACAGAGTGACGTGATCGGGACAAACGCAGTCAGAGCGGCGGGAAGGATCTGAGCAGAGCTTTGGTCCAGAAAATGTCCGTTTATGGGGCTGAGTCTGCAAAAAGTGCTATAGTTTGGCCCCAAACCATTGCCACACAAGCAAAACTCTGAGCAGCTGTGTGTGCTGCACCCTCCCACCCACCCACCCCACCGCCCCTCAGGCAACACAATGGTCTTGTCTCTACTTCCTGGATGCAAGAAAATGCTCCAAGTTAGCTGGCAGTTGTGCACTGCATAGTCATGAGACCTATCCCAGGTCCCCAAAAAAGGGCAACCCTTCTTTTCTTGGGTTCACAAACATTAATGATGCATCACGTGAAGCAGGCTATGAATCAGACATGGCATGAAGTGAAGTGACTTACAAAGTTAAAGAGATGACTGTCCTCAAGGAACTCCCAATCTTGCTGGTGACAGGCTGGTGACAGATTATATACTGTGATTATATAATCACAATATAAACATGTGATTATAACACAATTTTGGTAAGTCCCCAGAGAAAAGTATGTTCAAATAGTTGTCAATAGGAGTGCAAGAAGAGAAATTCTGTTTACTGTTCCTGGTGGATTGCTAAAATCTAGGACTCTGGTTCACTGGGGAGCACTGGACGAGATTAATATCACAGATAGATTCCAGAAGAGGAATTTGGTATCAGCGTAGAGGCCACTTCTTTACAAACTGTTCAGACAGCTATCAATTATGTGATAGGTCTCAAGGAAATAGCTTGTTTGCAGTGAGCATTTCCTCATAAAACTGGGTGGGTGGTTTGAAGGATTTTAATGACATTTGCCTAGCCATAATCATCATCTTATTTGCCTCCAGGTATTCAGGCCTGTAAACACATGGTTCCAATCCAGAAAAAAAAATTTCTGTAGGATAGCCATGTGCTTGAACTTCCCATCCTTTGCCTAGGCCAGCAGAAAGTACGTCTAAGCTTACTAGTCCACTCTGGACAGCCGTTTGTTCTAACCCCTTAAAGGTGCTCCAGGCCCTGTGAAAGACCTATATGCCTTGAGAATCTGGTGATCCTGGCAGAGCACGTACAAGACAGTTGATGGGAAGAGTATGTTGTCTTGATCTCCAAACAGAAACCCTGCCAGCATCACAGGGGGAGAGGGTGGGATAGAAAATGGTCCATGGACAGAAGAGTTTGGGGACTTAGTCTCACTTCTGGGGTGATCTCAAACTATGATAGGTTTATGATAATGGCAGATTCTTGGTGCCCTCAGAGGCTCTGATCTGTGTCCTTTAGAGACTTTAGCCTGAACCATCTTTTAAGACAAATATATTCATGAGCAATAAGGATCATCTTTTACAGAGACACTGATGTGTATTCTGATGTTGCCACATCTTTGTTTTGATTCTGTCTTACCAAAAATCTTTTTTGCCAGGGATACAGAGGTGAGTAGGAAGGAGTCGGATAGCTGGGAAGAGAGAGAAGGGAGAGGACCAAGAAGGTGAGTACGAGGGAGGGTGGGAGAAGGAGGGATAGAGAAAGAGGTGCTGGAAGTGGGGAGAGGGACAAAAATTCCAGATGCCACAAGTGTATCCCATGAGAACCTTATAAGCAGATGTAACTCTCCAGGGTTTTACTACAAATAAAAAAATCGTAATTCTGACAGTTAAAAATTAATAAAATTTGCAGATAAAATGGAACTTTCTAGTTACAGCCCAGGGTTGGCAATTTTTGTTTCCTGTAAAGGGCATTTAGTAAATATTGGCTTTGTGGCCTGTGGTCTCTGTCACAATTCCTCAACAGTAAAAACAGCCACAGGCAATAAATGCATAAGTGAAGGAGTGTGGCTGGATTTGGCCCTCTGGTAGTAATTTGTGAACCCAGGCTAGCAGATAAAATACTTAACTGCCACTTCACTAGTTCAATACAGCTTTGGCTTCAAAACAAGAAGTTGTTTGGGACATATTTCCATCATCTTTCCAATGTTAAATAGGCCACAATTTTGTGTTAAGTCGGGAAATTTCATGTTTTCACTTTCAGATGGGAAAATCTGGGGCATGATTCTTTCCACCAATTTCTCCATAAATTTGGATCTTATATGTCTTCAAAGAAGGAAGGCAACTTTGCGCCTCACGAGAAAAGTGATCAATGAACTTTGTGTCACCTCTTGGAGGTCCAGCGCAAGCAAGGACACTGCGGACACATGGATGGTCCTTTCCATAAACACAGCTAAGACCTGGGAAAATCAAATATAAGCTGCCCAGAGGACACACGGTCTAGTTACTTCCCCTGCAAGAACAGCTCATACTGTGGCTTTTCATGATCTCACTAGAAATCTGAACCTTCAAAAGAACAATTGGTCTGTACATTTGTGCCTAAGTCCTTGACTTAGTGATATGGTAAGTCAGGCACCGAGTTACAGCCTAGTTTGCTGATGGATAAAATAAAGGGTGGGACAGTGGAGAGAATTTCTCCTTAGAGAATTCCAGAAACATAGTGTCCTGAGTATATTCCAAACCATTCAAGCACCATCTCTCAGGTCTTTGCTTTGCCCTCAGCAGAGATGTTCAGAGAGAACGGCTCCAATGTCAGATAGGTTAAATTGAAATCACCACATTAAAAAGATAATCCCTAAAGAGCAAAAAATATTTCCAAGCAAATATTTCCAAGCTCTAGCCATTGGTCTATTTATTTAAAGCAATATTAGATAAAGCAAAAGTCCTACCCAAGGAAAGGATCGGACAAGGCCCTCAGAGGTCACTTCAATAGGATTGCTGGGCCCTGACAAGTTTAAAGGGACCCAGTGTATCAGGAGTGACATTTCAAAGAGGGATTTTATTTTAGTCACACCAATGACTCACTGTGAGAACAAGTGGGGACAATAGCAGCCCAAGAACGTGACAGATCGTAGCAAGGAAGGGATGTTTGACAAACGGAACCCTTTCATGATAATCTCAACAATGTAATCTGTACATGTGTGTGAAACTCCACCTCAGCGGCTGTGCGCCAAGGTTAGGGGCTGCCCGGAGGATGCACTGGGCCCCAGAAGTCTGTAGGTCGTACACTTTTATTTTTCTACCAGCCTTCTGCCTCTAAAGATGAGCTGGGAAATTTCTTGTCCAAATTACATTTTGAAACAACTTACTCAAACTTTAGAAATAGCAAGGAATGTTGAGAAATAAACCTATTCTGCTGGCAAGTGCAGAACTATATACTACAGATGCTTCCACCCTCTCAAGTCCTTTGTCCTGCCGTCTGTTGAGATTTATTTTCTCTATTCTTATAGCCTTGTTCATGCTTCCCCAGGCAAAATGTATATATACAGAAGGGTACAGAATTCAAGTGGTCTGATGAACTTTTAACAAAGTGAAAACACAATATTAACCAGCTTCAAGATAAAAAAAAAAATTACCAGCACCCCAGAAATGACCCGTTGTGCCCTCTCCCTGATACTACCCGTTCTCCAGTGCACTGGCATCTAGTGGGCCCTGGGACGCTGGCAAACATCCCGGAAGGCAGAGCATGGTCCCCACAGCGAGCAGTTGCCTGGCCCCGCACACCACTAAGGGCAGGTCAAGAAACCGGCTTTGCAGGAGGAACGATACAACATTTCTTCTTCATGTCTGCTGTCTCTCATTGACCACGATGTCCGTGAAATCCATCCGTCCTGTTGCAGGTTATCAGGAGGGCGCTGAGTATCATGGCTGTAAGGCCTGCCCTCACTCGCTTTGGAAAAAGGCTTTTTTTCCCCCAGTTTTAACTTGAAGATGTTTTTCAAAACATACTAGTCTTTTTCAAAATTTCTAATCTTAGTTCTACACCTTTGTTCTAGGCACCTTAAAAAAAAAAACTGAAGGGCTGGTTTATTGTGACAAAAATTAACACAAGGCTTGCTTGCCTGCCGGACTAAACAACTGGTTCATTTGTTCGTTTGTTTATTCATTCACTCAATGACCAATAAGCAGCCATTTCCTGCCAGGCCTGTGTAGGTGCTGTAGGAGGTCGTAGATAAATAAGGAACTTATATTCTGGCACTTTTGTTTGGGTGCCAACAAAAGTAAACTTAGGTTGTGGGAAGGGAAAGGTGCACGCTTGGGAGTAAAATGGGGCTCCTTAGGGGCTGCACATACTTAAAAAAAAAAAATTCCACCCTTTGTTACCTTCTCAACCTGTTGCCTGGATTTATTTTCACACTGTTTCCTCCTACATCTTTTCATCATCAGCTCACAAAGCACCTTAAAACTGCTGAGAAGAGAACACGTTTGGAGTATGTGCTGGGGGAGATGCAACCACTCCCCACAGTAGACCTCACACTCCCTGCCAACATGCTGCTGAGTCCCTACAATGGATTTGACCTGACAGGCAAAATAATTAAGTCCATTTGATTCTTCAGTCAGTCGATGGCTACAGAGGATTCCAAGTTAGCCTGTACCCATATAAATTTAGTATCTGTTCCTACAGCAAGTTGCATTGCAGTGATGTTCCAGACCAGGTATCTCAAAACCTCAGCATAACTGACATTTTAGGCCATTATATTCTCTGTGGTGGGAGCTGTACCGGGCACTGTTTGATGTTTAGCAACACCCATGGCCTTTACCTGCTGGGTGTCCATATACCGACCCCCTTTGCCAACATGATAACCAGAAGTGTTCCCACTTGTGCCAAATGTCCCTTTGGGTGGGTGGGGCAAAACCACCCCATTTGAGAACTACCGTCCTAGGGTATAGGACACATTTCTTTACCGAGCAAAAATTTCCAGTATTTTTCTATTAATAAATAGCCCAGCTTAATAAAATTATTGGCATTTGCATGCAAACAGAGGGACTATCTTCTGTATTCATTCTGTTTAAGACACAAAGCAGATTTAGGAACTGGAATAAACATAACAATCAATGAAATTATCATTTGGAGATCAGAGTCAGAACAGCCATGGCCTGGCTCCAGGGTTCTGGTTTCTTCCATAGGCCTTTGGAATGTTGAAAGGTCAGCTTTTGAAGATAAACCTTTCAATTCATAGCCTCTGTTTTGGCTTGAACACGGGTTTAGTCTGGGATGGCTGGAAGACTGATATCTGAGGACATTTCCCTTTTGCATAGCATTTTGGCAGATAGCGTTTCTATTATGCTTCAATATTCCATCCCAGGGTGACGGTTCTTAATGTTGAGGTTACTGAACATCGTAACACTGAAGGAAAATCAGCCTGTGGTAGATAGGGAAGGAAACAGCTAAAATTTATTGAGCACTTACTATCTTCCTGGCACGGTGCTATACACTTCATATGCTTAGCGTATTTCATCTTCACAGGAATCTAATGGGGTAAATATTATTATGTGAATTATTGCTAGTAAGAGAACTGAGATTAAACAATTTGTCTAAGGCAACGTAGCCAGCAAGGGGTTGAGCTTGGGTTTGAACCCAAGTGTGGTAGATGAAAGAAGGTTACAGATTATTTGCTACTCCTTCCTTTGAAGAGTAGGATGGATTTCCCTTGACCTTGAACGTTGGCTGCCTCTGGGTCTACTTCTGATCAACAAGAATGAATTATGTCTTAGATCTGCAGTCTCCACTTTTGCTTGTCTTGGAATATTCCCTCTCATTCATGGTGGCAAGATGCCTTGTAAGAAGCTTGATTATGCTGAGGCTTCCATACTGTGAGGAAGCCCAAGCTAAGCAAGAGGCAGACAGAAAGGCCATGAGGAGAAGCAGCGAGGTGCCAGAAATGTAAACAAAGCCTTCTTGGACCTTCTAGCCCAAACCAGTTTCTAGCTGAATAAGTGACCCTGGCTGATGCTGTGTGGAACAGCAGCTTCATCCTGCCAAGCACTGCCCACGCTCCTCAGGCACAGAATTACGAGGAAATGAAATCGGTGCTGTTTTAAGTCACTAAATTCTGAGGTACTTTGATACACAACAGTGGATATGTAAAACACGAGGTCAGCTTACCTACATATCTAGTAGTTTATAGGAAAATTAGAGGGTAGAGGTAAAGAGAACTGACTTAGTTCTACTGCCATCTACCTAAGAGGGAAACACTCTGAGTTCTCCCTAGGCCCTCAGGTTCCATGACCAGGGCTAGATTAAGTTCTGCTCCCACTTCTAAGGCTCTGTGATTCTAACTATGGACATACCTACATCTAGAGCATGTGAATCATTCTCAGTATTTTAGGTCGATTTTTCTGATGCACCAAATTTAGATCAAGGAATTTTGCAAAGCCGGTATTTTTGACAGAGATTGTTTTTCTTATGGATATCTCTAGAATCCAGAGATCTTATTCATAATCTAGCACTGTGGAATCTTTAGCTAGACAATTCAAGCAAGATTTCCCAAATTGGGAAAATACATTTTATGAATACACTATGTATTTATTTTATGGTTACCTTTGGTTACATTCTGCTTTTAGGAAGTGATACTGGCCTTCTAGTTATGCTAATGATAGATGTTTTAAGATAACTTTGAGTTAAAACAATTAATTGATTTAAAAAATTAAGTAAATAATAGTACCATTGTTACGAAAATAAGGCTAAAATAGTGAAGGTGGTAGTTGAATGTCCACAGTTTGAGAAATACTCCACTGAGACAAAGGAAGATAAAATGCCACTGCAATGCTCACCTTTCATTTCCTTTCCTTCTGGCCTGGTTACTCACACCTGGGGCGGGCTGTTCTAGCTGACCCGCACAAAAGGACCATCACAGCAGTAGTAGATACACTTTGAAATTTGGCTGAAGACAAATCTTGACAAAATCCAGAGGGGGAAGAAGTGCCATATAAGAAAAGAAAGAGAGAAAGATGACCAGGAAGAGAGAGAAATCGTGGAATATTAGAAGTTCAACTTGGAAAGCAATGGATCTAGATGATGCTGTCATGTTTCATTTGGAAAGCCTGACAGGTCTTGGCTGCAAGCACAGGGGAAGATGTGGGGAAGCACTGGGCCAGGGGTCAACCAGCAGGCTCTCATGACATGGGGCCTTGACTGGGCTGCTACCTAGGACTGGTTTGTAGACACCACTGAAAACCTTCATCACCACTCCTGGGCAGTCCCATGCGGGATCCTACAGTGGCTAACCTGCAATAGGATGATGGTTCATGCTCTTCATGTTTACAGTAATACAGGCATAGAAATAGATCTGTAGATAATGGAATCAGGCCCTTCACGGTAGTCATCCCTAGGGATAGGAATTGGTGGGACATTCACTTCTTCATGTTTGAAGTTTTACAATAAGCATGCATTACATGTCTAAACTGAAAACTAAAAAAGTAAAATACTAAAGAAAAATTAGAGTATGTGAGGATTGAATAAATATGCACATACAACACACACACATACATCCTATTGGTTTCATTTCTCTGGAGAACTCTAATACAGCAACCAATTAACATATGACAAAACAAACAAAAAAAACACAATCAATTGTTAAGTTCCTTACTGCATTTGCCCCCTGCCCCCCACAACAGCTCTCTAAGTTAGACAGGGTCATGCATATTATTCCCTTTCCCAAGTTAGGACGCTGAGGCACACAAAAGCCAAGGGCTTCCCCCATCGCACACGACCAAATCCAGTATCCATGACACACGGGGGCAAGAATCCTCAGGCAGACATCTCGTTCCTGGGACCCTTGTGACATGGCGCCACAGACCCCTCACCCTTTTGCTCATTGGTATGACTCCAGATAGCTCAGAGATCACCGATGGTTTATAAAATGCACCTCAGACAGAGGCTCTTGCACACACCACTGAGATCTTCCCACCACTATTAAGTGTGACCTGTCTATCTCTCCTTACACAAAGAACCTGACACTTGGCAGTTCTCTCTGCACTATCTACGAAGTTTTACTAGACTCTCCAACAGGTTGACCAGTCATGCCCTTAAGACCTCCAGCAAAACTGGCTGCTTAAGGCAGAGAATACAGACAAGTTCTGTGTTTTATACGTATGTACACACACATATATAATTCTTCACTTTTGTGTATAAGATAGAAAGAATGGGGAAATCATAGTCTTTCAGTGTAAAGGCTTCTATGGGTTTTAATTCCTAACTGCCACTGAACCTTCTCTTTTAGGAACACACCGTTTTCCTTTAGTACCTGGGTTGGTATAGAACAATCCTTGTGTAAAGAAACCACAAGCAGGCTCTGTCCTACTACTCAGCTTGATACACCCTAGGACTCAGCTGTTCAACTCAGTTCCATTTCAGCCCTCTGTCATTTCCTCGAGGCCAAACAGAT